ATTAGTAATTTGCGTGATAACCAAACAACAAGTCACGATTAGATTATTTTGAAAGGAACAGTTACATTAAGTGACACTTTACAAGTGATATGTTACAGGTGTACATGTACTTAACTGAAAACACAAGAAAAAATGATATCAGGCTCTTACATGACATGTAATTATAATTTATATTTAATATTAAAAACTGGCTTAGCCATCATGCATATGGTATATACCATGATCTAGAAATATGGTAAGAGGACACATAATTTTGGGGGGTGTTATTTTAATTTTATGTTGGTGTTCTATGTTTTGGGGCTGTTTTTCATAATTAAAAAGAAGTTATTCCACTTGTGCTTCCCAGACCCTGGCTCCTGCCCCTTTCTGTCCTGCTCCCCAATCCCCTGTCATTTAGGAGACTCAAAACACATCATAGTCATTTAGCTTTGCAATTCTCAAGTGTCTCGTTTATTTAGTCTGGTCTTTGAGGGCATACATTTTAGATATTTGTATAGCCAAGATGCGCACTCAGCCTTGCTCGTCTTCAATTGCATGATCTTTGACGTCACCATTGTAAAAGAGTTTACAATTTTCAACGGAGGCACATGTACGTGTATCTTTGTAAGCCTGTTGTTTAGCCCAAGTGCAACTTTCCGTTTCCTCGTTGTCTCGAAATCTAAGAAGATGCTAAATGGAAATCAAATAACATTTTGGGTTTTTGTTTTTAAAGTATTCTACACATTAAATGACAAAAATAAGCGTATTGAATTTCTCTCCCACTTTCCAGTGTGGCCAAGTGGTTAGGGCACTGGACTGAATTTGGAGGTTGCAGGTTCAAGTCCTGTTCTGACCACCAGCTGGTGCTGTTCTCGGTAGTCCAGATTTCAACTCCTGCGTCACGCTTGTGAATAGCTAACTGGTCTGCCTCTAGCCAGTTGGAATTCTTGACCAAGTTATGTTCATTTACACTGTATTTGTTTCATCATTTGTTTCCATTGGTCTCGCTTCCTACCCAATTTCTGCCTCCCATCCCCTTCCCCCCTATTCTCCTCGATGAACCACTTCTGTCATTTACAATAATTATTACTATCATTCAATGCATTTTTTTCCTTCCTTTTCATTGGCTGAGATCCCACCCCCTGACCCACAAATAACTGCCTATGAATAATGGTCTGGTGACATGCAGTCATCAGTCATCCGGTCAAGTAAATGTGTTTTGCTACAAACAATATTCTGCTCGTGCATAACTGTAACCACACTCTTGTGTGAAAAATGGCAGATCGCTTTGAATCGATCGCCGAGCTGTCAGAGGCTGATTTAAACATGAAAACAAATGATAAAACAATTAGCTATTATTCAACTCAGTCAGTATTGCAATATATCGGCTGTCGATAAAACCCCGAACATGGAACATTCCGGAACATCCCAGAACATTCCGGAACATCCCGGAACATCGAATAATTATCATAATTATACAAAAAATATGTAAAATTAAATTTTTAAAACTAAAATAAACAAAAATAAACTGGTATCAGCTTGAAATATGAAAAGATATTATTGGGGATAAGGGAGTCGGTAGCAGAGGGATAGGGAGCGTTGGGTATTCATTCAACTGACCACAATGAGCGCAGGATCCTCTTCTTTCCCACCGATTGCGCCACGTTGCTTTTCAGCACTCTGTTTTTCAACACAAACATGGACAATTCTGATAATGAATGCCGGGTTGTTCATTGCGTCTCCTTTTTTGATCCCTGATTTCTTCAACACCTGAGGTGTTTGTCTGAGCATCATACAGTCGCTTGTTAAGTCAGTATTCATAGTTTTGTCCCTATTCCATCTTCATGTTGCTACATGTATTTATCATCCCCAGTTTTCGCGCCGCTCCGCTAGGAACGCCTGGCACTATACCCTACTAAGTGCAGACTCGGCCTTTCCGGAAGCCCGAGTAACAAGCAAGTTATTATTAATAAACTAGTGGTAATCAAAGATTTATAGAGCAGTGCGTTCATGCACGGTTTCTGCATATCTGGTTTACTTTGGTGGTGTTTGAATGGCTCCATAGAAAACTAAGTTTGATCGAATGTCAGATAACGATCTGCACGTGAAGTTGAACTAGCGATGAACAGATTATAGCCTGCAGTAAAAGTATTTTTAATTAATTAAGTATTAACTTGTACTGGACAAACATTTTCCAGGAGATCCATTTGAACTGTGGGTGACACTTAGAATTCAATTTCAGATCGCCAACACATGTAACAAATATTTCTAGAGACAATAAAGTTTTGATGAGTGACCCCGCAAGACAGCGTGCGCATCGCCAAATGGTTTTAAACTTTGTGTTTGTATTTGTTTACACTGTCATCAGAGGTCGAGCAGTCCAAACTAGTTTAGACAAGAAACTTGATGCTGAAGAGTTTCTATTTCTATCTCATGGAGAAACTATTTCTTCATGAGGAATCGTGTATACGCATATCTTTGTATTGACGTAATGAATTGAATAAAGAAATCACACTCATGTACCCATAGTTTTAGGTCTGATTAAGGTTACTTCCTACCTTCAAGAGTGAAAAAAATCATTTTTTCTTTTATTTGCCTAAATTGAAGTTTATCATTTTATCTAACA